TTGGGGGTTGTTTTTTTCTTTTAAATAACCCTTTTAAAAAAATCTGAAGGGCAGGTGGCAAGAAATACTGAAATACTTGTAGGGTATGAATGCTTTTTAGATATCATTGCTTGCACTTACAGAGCCTGTTTAAAGTCAGCTGTTGTCTTCAGGACCAGATTCTAAGGTTGCTTTGCCAGGGAATCTGTGAGCAAAGCACCAAGGCTAGCTGATACTGCTTCTCCAAAAATGGGATGGTCACGCATCAGAGTCTCACTGGTCATTACTTGACTGCCCAGAGGAGGTAGGCAGTCAATGGCAGGAAACAGTGATAGCAGAAAGGTAGATCATGCTGTGTGAAGTTGCTCTTTCGTTGCTCTTTCAGACAAATATATCTTTTTCCACACCTGGAACCGTTCCCATTCTGATTCTTGCTCTTCTACAGCCATTGAATACAATCACTGCCCTCTATAATGGTATTTATGCTCTTTTTAAAATTGTTTTTATTTTTTGTCATTAACTACCAAGAACTTTTCAGCATAACTACAAATAAAAATACCATGCTTAAAATTAGATGTATTCTGCTGATGACACACAACTTTGAATGAAATCTAGATCTAATAGTTTACCTAATGTCAATTACAAGAACAGGAAAATATAGAACTTAAAATGCATTTCTTTTAATAAAGTAATCTAATTGGATTCTGAAAGCTCAGAGAGACCAGCCTACTGCATTACAGTGTGCTGTTCTCTGCATAGTCATTTTCTATTCATAATGTTTCCGTAGTATTTTGAATTTCAGTGATGATTTTATCTTAAAATGGATGTCTAAGTGAACATTTATAGTATACAACAGAGAAAGTAATGTGAAAGTCCCTGGGCTGCTCCATTCCCACACAGACTCATACAATCATAGAATATCATAGAATGGCTTCCGCTGGAATGGACCTTAAAGATCATCTAGTCGAATGCCCCAGCCATGGGCAAGGACATCTTCCACTAGACCAGGTTGCTCAAAGCCCCATCCTACCTGGCCTTGAAAACATCCAGGGATGGGGAAGCCACAGTTTATCTGGGCAACCTGTTTCAATGCCTCACCATCCTCACAGTAAAGAATTTCTTCCCATATCTAATGTAAACACTTTCTTTCAGTTTGAAGCCATTATAACTTGCCCCATCACTTCATGCTCTTGTAAAAAGTCCTTCTCCAGCTTTCTTGTAGACTCCCTGCAAATATTGGAAGGTCACTATAAGGTGTCTCTGAAGGCTTCTCTGCTCCAGGCTGAACAACTCCAACTCTCTCATCCAGTCACCATAGGAGAGGTGCTCCAGCCTTCTGATCATCTTGTTGGCCCTCATCTGGACTTGCTTAAACAGGTCCACATCCTTTTGTTGCAGACCTGAAAGCTGGACACAGTATTCTAGGTGGGGTCTCAAACCAGCAGAGTGGAGGGACAGAATCACCTCCCTCGACCTTCTAGCCACAATGCCTTTGATGCAGCCCAGGATAAGGTTGGCTTTCTGGACTGCAAGAGCACATTGCCAGGTCATATCAAGCTTCTCATCCACCAACAGCCCCATATCCTGTTCTCAACCCATTCTCTGCCCAGCCTGTATTCATGCCTGGGTTTGCCCAGACCCAGGTGCAGGACCTTGCACTTGGCCTGAGGTTTACACATGTCCTCACATGAGGTTCTCATGCCTATTTGAGGTCCCTCTGGATGCTATCATTTCCCTCCAGTGTGTCAACTGCATCACACAGCTTGGTGTCATTGGCAAACTTGCTGAGTGTGCACTCAATCCCACCATCTGTGTCACCAAGGATGTTAAACAGCACCAGTCCCAATACGGATCCCTGAGGAATGCCACTCATCAGTGGTCTTCACTTAAAAAATCTACCTATTTAATACTACTTTTTGTGTGTGACCATCATCCAATTCCTTATCCATCAGATGCCCAATCCATCAAATCCATGCCTCTCCAGAAGCAATGTGAATGACTGTGTCCCTTGTCAAGTTGTCTGGTACATATTCATGTACAAGTACAGTATCTAATTTGATGTCTCCACATTCCATGGGGAGGAATCATAAGCACAGGTAAATCTCTGTGCTGCAGCCAACAAATTTATTTGGCACACAGTTTATGATCTAGTAGATGTAAATGTCTGCTGTGAAACTAATGATGGATGAAAGAAGGGAACAAGTTGTCTCACAGGATTTCCAATTGGAATAGAAATAATCTATCTTGCAAAATGTTGACAAGTTCACTTCTAATCTTAGTTAGAAAATTGAGGCTGGAGTAGATAGTGCTGAAAAATAATGGGGTGAAAATCTGTTCTAACTTTTCAAAGCATTTCCTACATCCATTCTTACCTCACTATAAAGCGCTTAGGGAATTGCAGAGCTATTCAATCACTTTCATACTAACAGAAAAGCCCCATGTGCACAGCTTTTTTATGAACTATTTCCTGTGTTAAAGAGAATTTTTGGCTATTACTATCTGTATAAAGTAGTTCACTGTTTTCTGCTGGCATATTTAGAAACTTATTGAAGTGGGAGGGAATCTTAACTGATTCTGAACAGCCTTGCCACTGTGTTTTTCAGTGTTACCTTTTTGACATTTTTGATTGAAATAAAGAGAACACAAACCAAACACCCTTTAGCCTTCTATACAACTCATCTTTTTTTTAAAAGTGGGTCTTCTAGAGCTGCAAATGTAGGTCTATAAGAATAATCATCAAGATAGTATTAATCTGTCCCAGAAGGATATGAAAAACTTTTTAAAACCTATTAATGTTCATATGTCTTAGAATAGTGACCAGGGATATAGCTCTGAAAAAGTAGCAGATGAGAGACACAAAAAAATCGTGAATATTACAGTATTGTGAAGATGATACCAAAGCCTCAGGTATTTCCCAAGAACAGATCATAATTCTGCTTTCTATCCTAAAATCTGTCCTAGTTGTTGTAGAAGATGATGAAAGTCAATGCAGTCAATGACCTTAAAGCTGACATATTAAAACAGTGTGAAAAGGTCTAATTATCGTAAAGGTCATAGGATAAAAATTTTGTTCCAATTCTGTTATTTTCAGGAGCCAATGGAAATGTGACACTGCTATCAAAATTCCTTAGTGGCTTTCGGAAATGCTTGGTGTTTACTTTGTTGATTCAACATTGTAGAATTTGTATTTCTTGAAATAAGGGCATCATAGCTGATTTTTTAACAAAAATTAAAGACAAAGTTAATATATATTTAATAAAGCACTTGCTTAAAATTAATGGCAGGAAAACATTTCAAGGAGGTATGAAAACTGTCTCCAATGTTTAAAACAAGAAATTAAATATTTTACAAAAAATTATTATTTAATAGTAATACAGGTCCTACAAAAGAAACTGAAATCAGATTTAATTCCAAGATGTTTTATATATAGAAAATTTTACTAAAATATTTTATGTGACATGGTTCTAGAAAAAAATATTTAATTTCCAGTCCTTGTGTAATTTTTAATAAGTGTTGGCTGAACTCAAAATATCAAATTTAGATGGAAAATAAGTTTAAAATTCTTTTAAGTTCTTTTAGATGATTGAAGCATGAAATTTCCAATGGAAAAATACTTTCTGTTAAAAAAAGTCTACAAGGCGTACATTTTCAATATTTCTGACTGTTAAGAAAAGTCAGTTTGATATTTTTTATTCACTTCGTGTGAAATAAAAGTATCCAGTCAATAAGTCTCAGGTGTTTACTGCATCCTTTGAGGTCAAGAATAATAAATAAAAATATTTGAGCTTTTAGCCTTACTGCACTGAACAGTGTTACTTCCTCATTCTACACCTCAGCTTTCTACTTTTCTTTTCCCTCCACTACACTCAGTTTTAGGTTAAACATAGATTTTACCAAGAACATGTATTTCCTTCAAAGTCTTGATCACCACGTGATTCCATGTTCAATGGGATATGATGTTTTGTCACAGCAATTTTACACTGGAATAACTCCAGTGATTTTGTTGACTGTTACTCTTTTTTTACATTAGTGAGAAGAGAGATTTAGTTGCAGTATTCCTCAAATTGCATGAAATTTGTTTCCTAATCAAAAGTTTCACTTTATCCATGTGATTTGCTGTAATGTCAACTTTGCAACATTCAATCAGAGTGGAGGAGCATTTAATATAAGTTTGTGTTTATATAAATAGCTTCCTCAGCTCAAGAAGGTATTCTCCACAGAAGAGTCTGTGCTTCTTTCTCCATGTGTAACCGTTATAGCAATCATAATGAAGGACATGTATTTCCTGGTATGTCTTTGAGTATGCTTCAAATGAAGAGATAAATTTGAGAATAAACACAAGTAATGTCTATATAAGCTTGACTTTTGTTTACATTTAAAAGATGAATATACAGGTATAATATAAGTAAACTTTTAAACAGTGTTCACAAGATTTCTGATCTTGTTGAGAATAAGAAGTATCTGCCTAAGATAAAGCATTTGCAAAAACAGATCATCTTTTTCTCCAAAGAAAGATGCATTTGGGGTAGGAAATAGATACACTCTTGTTTGCTTTTGAAGAGTTACTTTCTAAGTGAGCAGCGAAGAAGCAGTTAAAAATCAATGTGTGTTTCTCTAGACCCTAAAAAAGAATTCTTCAGAACCATTGCAGTCCTCCACAACAGAATTTGACTGGAGATGATAGTTTATTTCAACATCTAAATTACCATTCAAATATTCTTCTGTAATAGAAATACACTACTGGCTTCACCTTCACGAGTGGAAACTTGTATGTTTAAAAATGTCGTTTCTCTTCATCAACAATTACTGATATTTTGCCTAAAATCCTCAGGTATTACAACAAGAATTTTTAGGAAAGTATTACAGCATCAATTCAGAAGAGGTAAAAACTAGACAGGTGTTTTAGGTACCCTGTCCATTTTTACTGCCTATTACTCATTTTCAGTGACTTGAAGCTGCCTTTGCAAATTCACTCTAACTTCCAGAAGTTTGACTTACTGATATCAAATGCTTGCTTTCAGATATCAACATGGCAGGAGAACCAAAACCATACAGACCAAAACCTGGCAACAAGCGGCCACTTTCAGCACTTTACAGGTAAATGAGATTTCACTTTAACTTACTCCAGGTCAATTTTTATTGAAAAAATTATGGTAACCTGAATTGTATCTTCTAGTGCCACTGTGTAATATTTACCAAAATTATAATGAAATGCACAATAAAATTTTAAATCTGTCATTTACTAAATCTACTGACAAAAAGACTGTTGCAGTGATCTGTGAAGTGTTTATTAATGCTACTAGTACTACTATGAATAATTTTTTGTTTTGTTTTGTTTTTAATTGAGTACTATTTCAATTTTAAATCCTTATGCTTTATTGCTTGGTTGTGGCCTCATTTTTTGTGACTTTTTAATTTGCAGCAATCAGTTGAAATAATTAATAATTTCAGAGCAACAAAACTGTTGACAGATTTTTCTGTCAAGGGTGAAAGCCAAGTTCTGACAAGACAGGACTTCTTCCTTGGCTGTTTGAGAGGGCATTGATAGTGTCTTTCTCCTATTCCTAAGTGCCTTTTGTCATGGAGTTTGTAGAAACCTGAAGAAACTACCACTTTTTTTTTTTCCAAATCAATTAAGCTTAGGGAAGCTTTACAAATTGTTAGGGCTACCACGCCCACATGTGTTTCTGCTCCATAAATTTCACTTCTCATAAAAGTACTACAGAATTAATTCTCTAGATCCATGAGAGGAAATAGGGCTAATTTTTGCTGTAGCTGAAATGCAGATAGACTGGCTCTGAGACCAGCATTGAAGTCAGACACAAGTGAGCAGGACTTTTCGTGCCTGGTCTGGTCTGAAAACTTCAGATGGAAATTCGAGGGTAGGATCTCAGAATGAGAAAACCAGGAGCATTTTAGATCTGAGCATCCATGCTACATAGAAGTAATTTGAAGTTTTATATAGCTGCTCTTAACTGAAGTGATAGAAATATTATTTTTTGAGAAGAGAATCCCTGTTTTATCACTACTGTCAACTGCAAGTTGCTAAACTATGTAAGTGTTGTTGGTAGCCACGGTCTACTGTGTCCCTCTGCCAGTATTTCAAAAGATTTTGGAAGACGTTCTGTAATTTCTGACATTTATATGCACTTCCACCTCTGAGCTTCTGAACTATTTGTCATAAATACTTGTTCTAAAGACAAGACAGGGATAAGAGAGAGACCTGTGGAAAGTTCTGAGGGAACTTTAAAGAGAAAAAAAGATCTTAGATTGTGTATTTTCATGGATGTAGTGCAAGCTATTTCTCCAGAAGATTATGAGAGGCTTTTTTGAGAACCTAAGATAATCCTTCCACTTTCCCCCTCATCTTCATTCTCCCCCTCTACTCTGACCTCATAAGACCTCATCTGGAGTCCTGAGTACTGCTCTGGAGTACTAAGAATAAGAAAGTCATGGACCTGTTGAAGCAGGTCTGGAAGAGGACCACAAAGATCATCCCGGAGTTGTAGCACCTCTTCTAAGACAGGCTGAGAGATATGGGGTTGTTCAGACTGGAGAAGACTCCACGGACACCTCATCATGGCCTTTCAGTACTTAGAGGAGGCTTATAAAAAAGAGGGAGAACAACTTTTTACATGTACACATTGTGATAGGGCAAGGGGGAACAGTTTTCAACTAAAAGAGGAGAGGTTTACTTTAGATGTTAGGAAGAAATGCTATACTCAGAGGGTAGTGAGGCACTAGAAAAGGTTGCCCAGAGTAGTTGTGGATGTCCCATCCTTAGAAATGTTCAAGGTCAGGTTGGATGGGGTCCTGAGCAGTTTGATCCAGTGGATGGCATCCCTGCCCATGGTGGGATGACTGCAACTAGATGATCCTAAAAGTACCTTCCAACTCAAACCACTCTATTTTTCTATGATATGGTTCCTTTTAACCCAAGCCTTTCTATGATTCTAGGTTCTACGTAAGTACAGAACTTTTATTATTTCAGTATCCATCTCTGCGAGGAGATCATTGGCTTATAAAGTTCTTGACAACACTGCGAACATTTACTTATTTCAAAACACTGTACTGTGTCTGACTGGGATAGGGTTCACTTTCTTCATAGAATCCCATATGGTTCTGTGTTTTGGATTTGCTACTAAAACACACCAGTCTTTTTGGCTGTTACTGAACAGTGTTTGTACAGCCTCATGATATTCTCTTTTTCTTATTCTACCTTTGCAATTAATAGACTTGAGGTAGACAAGAAGTTGTAAAGGAATACATCCGAGACAGCTGACACAAATTGGCCAAACAGATATTCTCTCATATAACATCATGCTCTGAAATAAAAACTGGGGAGGTTTTTCCTTCCAAAGCAGCTGTTGCTTGGAAACTACCTGAACTGCTTATAGGAGGTGGAAAGTAATTGCTTTTGCATAACTTGGGGGGGTTTTCCCTCCTTTCTTCCCTCCCTTATTACACCACAATTATCTCAACTCATGAGATTATTTCACTTTTGGTCTCTCCTTCATGTCAATATGGTACAATGGTAGGGGAGTGAGAAAGTGACTATGTAGGTGCTTAGCTGCTGGCCAGGGTCCACTCCCAAGACTGAAAAAGTTAAGAGGGAAATGGTTACATTGATTTGCACTAAGAAAGACATTGGTTAAAAATTTAGTTGTCACAAAATAGTCCCTGTTAAAAGGAAGGACTGTGAGCAGTAGAAATAGGATAATGGATTTCAGAAAGGACAGACTTCAATGAGCTCAGAGACTAAGTAGGATATCTTGGAAAGAAATTTGAGGGACAATAGAAGTGCAGAAAAACTTGCATTCACTGTGCTTAAGGTAGAGTAGAAAATTCTCCCGAAGCAGAAGTTGAACAAAGGAATAATATGGCAGCATCAAGTTTTTTTGGCATCCTGACAAGTGAAGAGAAATTGTACAAAATGTGGAATCAAAACCCCATGACTGGAAGTAAGTAGAAAAGAAGAGCAGAGTCATCTAACAAGATGTCAGAAAGGTTAAAGCACATAACAGTATAAAAGGTAGCAAAAAGATTGTCATTAGACTAACTTCCTCTGATTTTTGATACTATTGTTAGTTAGCAGAAAAGGAGATTAGATAGCAGATGATACAGAAAACACTTTTTTTACTTCAGCAAATGTGGCTAGTTGACCAGCTATTTAAGAAAATCAATTTTAACCAGAGGGTGTGCAATAAAAGAATTGGCTAACCAGTGTTTGACTAAATTAATTTAATGGAAATGCTATGATGAGGTTCACTGTAGTGTGTTCAAAGGACTAACTGAATCTGTGTGTGGACTATTAGTGGTTGTTTTCAGAAGCTTATAGAGGTTATGTAAGGTAAAGAAACAGTGGGTATGGGTAGGTGTTATACCTATCTTTAAGAAGAAGATGATCCAAAAAGTTATCAGGTCAGCCCAACCTTGATTCCAAGAAATGTGCTAGAACACATTATTAGCAGTTAACTTATCAACACCTAGAGGATAGTAAATTGGTAAAAAAATCAGGAGCAAATTATGTTGAAGCAATATAATTTCCTTCTTTGACAAAATAGCAGATTTAGTATATAAAGAGGAAACTGTAGATTTGCTATATAGTCAATTAAACAAGTTTTGACACTTACCATGTGGGCAGTTTTCATAAGCCTGCTCAGGAAATTTGCCTAGAAAAACTGTCTTAAGGTAGATATCCGATGGAAAAACAGTGACTGTGTACAGCATAGTATTAAGGATAACACCTATCGTTTGTTCAGTCTCCTTTGTTACAGATATTTAAATGATACTTGAGATAAATTTAAGAACAGTTTTAAGGTAAGCAAGCAGGACTGCTGCACAGGCTCACATGATTTTATTTATTTTGAAGTGCCTGAGACTTCAAAACTGTTCGAAGGACTCTGCACCTCTGAAAAGAAGTCTGTATCACATTTACAGCTGGATATACACATAAGTCATTAATACAGAGCAACTGATGTCTATGGTGTGTTATATCCACATAATTTGCTTGTGTGTCCAAGTCATTAGATCCATTTTTGCCCATAATGGTATGAAGATACTTGGTGTTATCTCAGTTCAGGATCTACATTCCTTTTTTTTAACCTTCATGATCTGTGTAATTTTTGGATTAGTTCTTAAAAATATTTTGAGAGTAGAAATATAAGCTTTGCTTCAGAAAGCTGCTAATAACATTATTAATTTTAAGCGTACTCACTGAACAGTTAAAGATGTGATTAGGGTAGTGCTCAGGAATCAGTTAAAATCTCACACAGCTCACACAGTGAGCCAGCAGCATTCCTCCTACTTTGCATTGCTGTTCAGTACATGACGGGCAGACCTAATCTCAAAAGGTTCAAAATCATTCTGAATTTTCTTTTTTAGCAAAGTAATTCTGCAGAAAATCAAATGCCTGAAAAATCTTCATCTTAAAATTGTTTTGCATTTTATTATACGGGTCTAGCCTCCAGCAGAAGTTAATTTTCCTGGCTAATCTTCATATCTTCGAAACACAAGGTGAAGATTAGAGGTGCTGACACAAATGTGTTAAAGCACTCTTTGGGAGCAATATTGTGGCAAAATAAAAGATCACACTTTGTCTTTTTAATTTGATCAGTATTTCATTACAGCAACTCTGTGTCAGCGTATGAAAGCCCATTTACCGGTTGTTTTATTTTCCTCTGTGTTTATGCTCCAACATACCAAAGTAGAATCAAGTGCAAATACTCTGATGGAATGGCATTCTGTTTCTCTACTTCATAAAAGAATGTTTTAACTATTTATCATTCATTTCAGTCCGCCACCAAGTTATATGAGGTGTTAAACACATGCCTGAAAGCTTTTGCTCCATTTTGGAGGCCTTTGTTGTGGTTGGTAAAACAGGATAAGGCTCTTATGGTTCCTAATTCTGAAGGTTGCTAATGGCTCCATTCCCTGTTGCTGCAAGAGTGCGCCCAAGCCCCAGGACAGGTGGAGCAGAGCCCCCATGCACAGACTGCCTGTGGCTTGCCTTCCCTCAGGACATGTGGCATGTCCTTTCTGTATGGCTGTCCGTATGGGGGAGTTGGCTAAAAGTCTTCTCTGGCACCCCTCTAGCA